CTTTGTGGAGTCATGCAGCTCCATAACTCAAAAGTCACTTCCCAAAAAGGCTGTGCAGTTTTCATATTCAAATATCAATCCTCTGGAATGAGAGGGTTTCAGTGCTTTGACGTTTTCACTTGGGAAATGCAGGATGGGCTGAAAGGTAGTCTCTTCTTCACTTATGTAAAATATTTCTGGTTTTAAATTGCTCCAGCTGAAATATTTTTCATTGCTGTCAGTAATTTTTAATCAAAGAATGAATGACAGCACTATAAAACGGGATTTGTTGAGCCTAATTAGGTAGGTACAGCACAGTCTGTGGAAGATTTGTACGCTCTGGTTACTGATGCTGTTTGTAGCCCCCAGCTGTACAGTTTGTGAGTGAAAGCCTTTCCCAGTGGACCTCATCTCCAAACCACACACACACAAAAAATTGCATTAATTGACCATAAGGGCATATATACCTGTCCCACCACAGATACAGTACCTCTGGCAATGTAACAGAAACATGGTTTAGCACTGGATCTGATACCACTGCTGTAACACTAAATGGACATGTTGCAGCTACATGATCACATCATGCCTCTGTTGTTTGTGTGCAGACAGAGAAACATGTTTCAGTGAGTAGCTCATGTTTTGGCTGTGGAGGTCATAGACATCAACGTTTTAGCTATGCCCTGACTCCTTAACACACAAGTCAAGGATAAATGAACTCTTGGTCGTTGTCCAAACACTTAAGGCTTCCCAAATAGCAACTGTTAAGGAAACATTGAGACACACCTTTAAGTCTGTGTTTTTGTTGGGCCACTCAAGGGCAGTAAGAGCCTTGCTGAAGTTTATCTGACTTAGTGTTATACTGTGGTAATCAAGTATTCCCTTCATTTTTTTTTGGAGCAGTTTGTTAGCCCTGTGATAGACTACAACCTGTTCAGGTTTACTCTGCATCTTAACCCCTGAATGCCCATAAGGGTGCAGACCCTCCAAACCTAACACGAAACTAATGAGCGCAAAGTGGTATACTTTTGTAGTTGAGTCATATTTCACTGTGCCCACTTGGATTTGGTTTGTATTTCAAATTGTGCCACACATTTTCTACTGGGGACAGGTGAGGACTGCAGGCAAGCCAGTCCAGCACTCATGCCCTTTTCCTCCACAACCAGGCCTTGGTAATGTGCACTATGAGGTTTTGTATTGTCTGGTTTTAAGCAGCATATACTGTATGCATTTAGCACACACACAAAACAAACAAAAAAAACCTAGACATGATAAATTGCCCCTTGTTCTACTGCTCCTGTTGAATCATGAAATGAGAATACAAAAACTCCTCTATTGCTGGAATAGGTATTACAGCCTTAAAATGGTGGAAAAGGTCACCATTCTTTAACCATTTAATCATCATCAATGAATCTCAGTGCCTGCAGTCCACATGTCGAAGTGTCCTTGGGCAAGACACTGAAAGCCCTAAGTTGCCCCCGATGATTAGAGCCATTGGTGTGAGTTGGCGCCGCAGATGGCTGCCTCGGTTCTGTACCGGAAACAAATTCATTGTGTGTAAATACTTGACCAAAAAAAGGTTGTTGTTGTTGTTGTTGTTGTTATCGTCGTCGTCGTCATTGTCATCATCATCATCGTCATTCCTGGTTACTGAACAATAACTGACACCACAGTTCCATCGTGTTCTTTCCCATGATACACTACTCTCCTTGTTCTGGGCAGCAGTTTGCTAAATAGTGTTCCTGGACCTCAATACATCCAGGCATCAGACGGTGTCACTGTTGAAGTGGGTATTGCCCACCGCCCACAGGGGGAATTATTGAGCAAATTGCTGCTAGGTTCACCAAAATGAGGAGAGGACAGTGACAAACTAACGCGGGCTGTGGCTACCTTCTACTGTAGTTCACACTGGCTGCCAAATAAATAAATAAGAACAGAGGTTCTACTTGAAGAGTCTAAGTCGACTGATAGGCCTCTCAACTAATGATTTGACTAGTCGACTTTGAGGGGGCAGCCCTAAAAACTGCCATGTTACCATGATGAATGTAGCCCCATGGGCTCAGGAGGACTCTGGAAAACCATTGTTACTTAACACAATCTGCCACTGCATCTAGAAATGCAACCTGTTCTGCTATGCAGAAACACTGAGTTCTTTTGTTCTGAGCTCATCTCGGATACCCCAAAAGATGGAAAGGTGCAAAGGTCAGCACGTTGAAAGCCTTTTCTTTGTACTTTTGTCAATTAAAGGTTCAATCGAATTAACTAATCACAGTTTTTAGTTTTTCTGTATTTTGGAAAAATGTCCCAACTTTTACAGACATGAGGACATAAAATTTAATCGATAGCTTAAGAATTGAGGAAAATGTCCCCAACAGTATCATAATCAATACAGACCAGTAAAGCATAGCTTTTCATGGTTCTTATTTTGCTAATAAGAACAGATACGTTTGGTGATGTTGTAATCCCCGTCTTAGCTCCACCTAACATTACATTAACTAAAATCACATGGGCATGTGCAGGGCCTTCAGTTTAATCACACATATTTTGTCACGAGTCCAGTTCGGTTATTTTAGAGAATTTTCAGCAGTCTGGTCACTTATATTTTAATTAAAAAACTTTTTTGTTGACTCCACATGAATATAAAAACATAGTGAGTTAATCTGACTGTGTGTAAACAGGAAAAATGGCAAAATCACCAAACAAGTGACCCAACCCTGACAATCCTTACTGTTCACACATTTCCCCTGATGCAGGACTCAACATCTGTTTTACTTTTACAGGGAACAGAACAAGCATGTTGGGCACCCCCCTCCCCTCCTTCCTTACCCTTTTCCTATCTTAATAGCTTGATTCTTTTATTATAGGAGAAAAGCACACGTGCACCTAGGATGAAGTATACAGCATTCCTACACATTAAATGCATACTTATGCACGAGTGGGGCTTAATAAAGCCCATTGGTGCATTAGATCAGGAAGCATGCAAGAACATTTTTCATTTCATGGGGCTATAAATTACTGCTCATTTAGGTATTATAGCATCAGCAATGCTACATTCCTCAGTATGACAATAGTTTGTTTATTGTGTGGTTGATGACAATGTTATTGTGGCTCATTGCATTTTCTAAATTGTTAGAAGCCTGTGTAGTTGTAGGTCAAAACAGCAGCAGATAAATGAGCTCTCACTAACCATGCAGAATGTACATTTAAGGTACATTTCTGGACAATGATAAAGGCATGCTGGCAGAACATCAATATAACATGGTCTTGGTCTGGTGACCTGTCCAGGGTGAACCCCGCCTCTCACCCAATGTCAGCTAGGTTTGGCTCCAGCCCCCCTGCGACCCTATTCAGGAATAAGCGGTATAGATAATGGATGGATGGATGGCCTTGGTCTCAGTTTAAAGGCTATAGTACAATTAGGTATTCATATTCAAACTTACATTTTCATAGCAGTTGACTCTTCTGAATTAAAGTGACTCTTTCCACCTTTGAGGTCATTGTTTCCACACAAATATAGATTGTTCCTCAGAATTTGTCGTGTGTGTGTGATTACATCCTTCAGTGCTGAAACAATTATTCAAAGTTTCCATATATGACTGACTATCAATTAAAAGGATTTGCTGTTATTCTCTGAGGAAACAAGCAATGTCAAGATGCTGCCTTGGACTCTGGGAACACGTGATGAGCATTTTACTGTATTTTAGGGGGGAGTTTTTCCTCCCCTCTGTCAGTCACCAAGTGCTTGCTCAAGGGGGATTTTTTGGGTTTTTCCTCTATTATAATAATAGTAAGGTCTAGACCTTACTTTGTAAAGTCACCCTATTATTAAGCAGAATTCCCTGCCCTCTGTTCTATATATCAGCTGGGTTCCTTGTGCCTTGATATAAATATAAAATGAATGTTTACTTGTTAGCCCCCTAAAAACTTGTCTTATGTCAGGTTAAAAAGTGCAGTTCAAACCATTATTCATATCTTTGTTTTCTTTACACCGTTCCATTTATTTTTGAGGATTCCAGTAGGCCGGTGTGTTAGAATTTTTTGTGCGACAGCAGATACTGTATGTTTCCCTTACTGCCATTCCTCAGGAGTGTGACGTCCTATACACTAGTGGTTTGTCTGATACTGCTGTTAGGATGACTTTTTAGAGCGAATGGCTATCTGAAGGACTGACAGACATGGATTCATTTATAAAAGTGCTTCAGAGGAGAAAGGTTTAATTTGCTTGAGCAATCTTGTAGCTTTGGAAAATGTCCACAGGCAGTGACAGACATGTTCATAGTGGCTAAATCCCAGAAGTTCATGTCGGAATGCTGCCACTGTAATCTTTAGGCACCCTGCTATTCGTGTAGATAAATCTATCATGAATAGTCTTTAGTTAAATGGATATATTTCTTCCATGTTACTCAAATACACCTTATTTTAGCCTGATCAGTCTCACCACCACTCTTACATGATGAGACAGACGTTTATTTGGAAATGATCTCAGTCACTTCTAGGTGATCAGTGGTGACTCATGTTCTCCAAATATGATGAAGAGCTTTAATCATAATTCTCATTAGGAGTTGTCCAAGCACACAGTATGCGACAAATGGCACTTTACCTGCTCACAAGGGGGTAAAAATAAAATTCTGTACTGTAGCTTAATGCAGATGACACAATAAGCCAGTGGATGAGGGCTAAAACAATGTTTGGCACTGTAGGGGCACAAAAAAGACTTAAAATAGAATGGAATGTGTGGCAACCATCCAGCAGCTTGGAAAACCAAAGGCCCCGTAAGTGGTTTCCTGCTTTTCAGTAATGTCATCAGTGAATGTCCTGTTCACAGCATGTTAAAGTTGTTTTGCCAACAGACAAATTAGTGAGTTTGGTTCCTGCAGATGGCCGCCGTCTGGGTCCTCTAATTTTGAAACCGGGCAGAACATGCACTGCATGGCCAGACGTATGTGGACACCTGAATGTAACTGATTGTTGGACAGTTCATTCCATTCAGTCCATCCATTTTTCCCTCAACTGTCTCACTACAGATGAGGTGAACATTCTGCTGGAGCTTTCTCTTCAGGTGTCAAACAGCAGTAACATGTCCATGACTGTGGAGGACAGCAGGTGTCCAGTTCTACAGGTGGGACAGTACTCCACCTTGGCTCTTCCTCTACAGCAGCTCTTCACTGACAGGTAGTTTCTCCTCAGCACTTTGATATTAGGCTATTACAGGATTCAGTTTAAGATTTTAATGCTAACTTTTAAATTGCTGAATGGGCTTGCTCTTTGCAGTCATATCTTCCTGCCTGGCATTTTAGATTTGCTGCTCACTCACTTCTGACTGTACCAAACATACAGTAAGGTTAAAGAAAGAGGAGGTCGGTCCATAGCCCTAAAGCTATGGAGCAGGTTGCCACTTGGCATCTTCACGGTCTGTTTTTAAAGTCACTCTTAAGACGTATTTTTATTCCTTGGTGTTTAGAACAGTTGTAGAGTGTGGTGTGTTTTAAGAAACTACCCTGTTGAAATGATCATTGTTATGTTGTATTTTGATTATTTACCTTTGTTTTTATTTTGCAAACTTTATTACTAATTGTTTATCTAGTATTGTACAGCACTTTGATCAACAGATGCTTTTAAATGTGCTTTATAACTGACATTGACATACTATTTTATGTAAAGGTAAAAGCTGTTGGTGTACCACACCTTTAGTCACTTGTAATTTGGTGAGTCAGCCAGCTCTTGTTTCTTATTTAGCAATGTGCTTGTGTCCTTGAGGACTAACGGCACACTTCCTGGCCACAGGTATCCTTTTATGTTTTGAGCAGAAACTATGTGCTTGTGTTTAGGTTTGCAGATGAGTTCAGTTTACTGGTGCAGCTGCGAAGTCCTCAGAGAGAAGAACGCAGTGTGTTCACCATTCTCAGCCCCGACAGCCATGTGATGATGCAACTAAGGATCAGTGCTTATGCCATCATCTTCATAGGAACACAGCAACGACACTATGAGTGAGTCTCAGCTCTTTATTTTTCCCCTTTTCCTTTCCAGCCCCAAATTAATACAATCTGATTGATTGTATTAATGTGTGTATATAGTGAGTGCTGTGAAACCTCTTTGGCACATAGAAGATAATTCATGATTAACTGGCTAAAACTGCCCAAAAATCTAGCAGTGACTCAGTTCCTAGCTTTTCACTCTTATGCATTACCCATTGTCAAAAAAGACTAGAAAATGTAGACACCAGAAAGTGATTACATTTCAGCTCATTGAGAATCACTCCTGCCAATTGCTGGTTCTTGGCTATAGTGTATGGAGATGTGTCTATAACATGGAGGAAAGCACTGTGGGAGTGTATTTGTATGTGCTGTGTCTGGTGAAATGATTTATTAGGCATCTCTTGGCAGGTTTATCTTCTTCAGGAGCCGCAGAACTCGAAGTAATATATTACTGCAGGATGGCAGACAGAACCGGGCCAAATTATACACAAAAACAGATACCATGCCTTGTACTTATTGACTCATGGTTGTTTTTATTTCAAAGCTCCATGTCCATCAAGCATGCTGGTTGGTGGCTTCCACCTCCAGAGTTTGGTTGGGTGGAGAGCCCAGCTTGACCTCTAGGGGACATTAGCAGGTGCTTTAGACATTAAACCTGTTCTGATAAATATTTTATATATTAAAAGGAGAACTCCACCAATTTTACACATCAGAGTCTGTTTACTGCATAAGTGACAACAGGCTCCAGAGGTAGCTCCATGAAGTGAAGGAAACATCTGATAAGCCAAAACCTGTGTCGCCTTAAGTGATGTTTCTGGAGCCAGAGTTGTTTGAGCCTGAACATTACAAATTTGAATATGAGAACCAACTGGGAGTTTGGAGTCAAAAAAAGCAACCTCACCTTACAGAGCACTATAGAGCTTCATCTCTTCTTAAGGAGTGTGGCTCAATCCTACATTATCTGCTATTTGCATAACATACACTGTCTGACTGAACTGCCAGTGAGTATTGTGGGTAATGTAGGCCCCTTAAGTTTGCAGGAAAGAAAGTTTGAAATACAAATGACTAATGCTCATTCTTCTACATTGAATTTGGTGCTTTTTTCAGCTTCCATCATATGAATGAATTGAACTTCTGTCTTAGATTCATGACTTTAGTTCAGACATTCAATTCAAAACAAAAACAAAACGTGATTAGATAATGATGACCCATGTGTCTCTGTCAGGTTCCCAGTCAGTGGTCTGTCTGATGGAAAGTGGCACCATGTGGCCTTCAGCGTGTCTGCTGAGCGCCTGGCACTGTACGTGGACTGTTCTCTGCTGGAGAGTGTGGACTGGGTGTACCATGGCATGGGGATCAGCACCAATGGGCTGCTCATGGTTGGAGGCATTATCAAGGGCTTTGAGACTCCATTAGAAGTAAGTGGCTTCCATCCAGCTTTATCTGTGTGTCCAGCACTGCAAATGTTTTTTCAGACTCTCAGCTGACTTTAAAACAAGTCCAAATAGCCTGAGTTGGATATTAAATCTATACTTTTAGAATTGTCGAATGTTTTACGTTTTGTGTGTGTAATAATACATTATTTGTGACCACATGGTTATGCAACAGCCTGATGATATTAAAACAACTTTCAAGGTAGTAAACCCAATGTGTAAAGTCCAGTTCATTTGAATGTCGCCTGAAAAGACATACATGCCTGCTCATCTTAGCAACACACGAGGAAAGAGCACAAAAGCAGATATTCCAGCACGTTGGCCTTGTCCCACCACATTCCCTTTCATCACTTACACAAATGTTTAGAAACCATGTATTTATTTTTAAGTATGTGTCAAAATCCCTGTAACCTGCACTAACCACAATCTCAGTTGCCTCCAAAATACCAGTGTTGCATAAATTACAGAGGAAAACACTGATGAATGTTTACACAGAGGATGAGTTTGGTGCCCTCCACCCCTTATCCCTGTTCTCCAGTCAACATGAAGACATTTCACCTCATTTTACTGTAACCCTACATGTCTTTGGACTGGGAGACAAGAAGGTCATGTCAACTCAAGAACAATTCATGAAAGTGTTTTTGCTTTTTGCTGCTGATTTTCAAATGCATACAGTTCAGTTTTTAGATTTTTAGATGTTAGCCTACCTGAGCGTAATGACTCTATGTGAAGATGTACAGTTGTAATTAAATGGATGCAGAATTTGAGCGTAATGACTCTATGTGAAGATGTTTACAGTTGTAATTAAATAGATGCAGAATCTCATATTCAAACCATCAAAATCAGCACAACCCAGTTGCTTGCATAAGCAAGTAATGGGCTCATAGCTCAATGTCAGGCCCCTTTTTCTGAGGCGTTCATATTATTTTGATGCAGCCATGAAGCCCACGACAAAATCATTGCTCTCAAAAATAACAATTTTATGAGTTTTTTGTAACTTATAGAGAAAAGCTTTTGTAAGGGTGTTGCCTTCTCTAATGTGAGTTTCCTTTTCTTTTGCCACTTGATGGATAGCTGTAATGTCATGAAGTTTTAAGGTATCCAGTGTGTAGTTTGTGCAATGCTGTCTCATAAAGCCAGCAGCATTCTTTTAGCATATATACATATTTGTAAAGTCAACCCTGATTCTACAAGCTGTATCTTCAATAATGAAAGCATTACACTTTACACAACATTACACTACAGTAGTGATGTAACATTACTTTAGGAAAATCTTTTGCAAAACTGAACATGCTTGGATGCACCAGAAACAATATTCACCTGTTTGAACAGCTACAAAATATCAAGGCAGTTCAAGATGCATTCCTGTTGTGGGGGATAAGCAGATGCTCAGATTGGAAATTTAACCGCTTTACTTCTTCTTTGTCACTTCTTACAGCGCCTTTCCCTGTGCACTGTGGTATTACAGTTCAGTGTGACCATATTGGCATAACGCCACAAACTGCAGTTACAAATGACAAAAGTCCACATTGTGCAAGCCTGTTAGAAAATAGTGTTTTCTATGAAAACACACCAGAGTTTTTTTCGAGAGCTGGAGCAGTACAAAATTTGATGGAGGCGGTCGCCTTGTAATTTTCTACACAGGACAAACCCTGCGTTATGGTACCACGTATGGTCCTCTAGGTTTGCATCTCAAGGAAAAAACTGGAACTCTTCCATTAATGGCTGATTTTGATGGGCAGTAATGTACCTGGTTTTGCATTATGAACATGCTGTCCCAGTTACAACAAGCATTCATGTAGCTTAAGAATCAGAGTGTGATATCACGGTGGGGGTGTACAGGAGAATTTAGCAGCAGCATCTGGATTTGTACTTGGTATACATAAAAAGGATTCTCCATTGCCTGTTTTCCCCTGGTGACAGCTTTTTTATTGAGCTCCAAGGACAGAGCGCTTCCAAACTCAAAGGTGATGACAGTCCTTTTTCTGGACAATCTTTTGTGTTAGCAGCACTAAACCATATATAACTGTGGCTTTTAGCTGTAACTCTTAGTCTCATCCACTCCACTTCAACATGACTGAAAGGGACACATTCTCTTTAATGATACAGCAAGACCCGGAGAGGTTTTGATAAGTCAGCACAGGCAACTGGATTATTGGCTTAAACAACAAAGTTTTGTATCTTTTAGGCAAAACATTTCAGGATAACCAACAAAATTACAGTATTTTCCTACATGAAAATTTCAGCAGATGTCTGTTTAGCAGACACACATGTAGTTTGATCCCCATCTATTTTTAGGGTACAGTACACTGGGATTTTTCTGACAGAGTTGCACAAGGTTTTCTTATGCAGCGAGCATAAAACAGTCTGTACAGCATTATTTTTGCATAACAAGCATCAAAAAGCGAAACTCAACATGTTTATTCCACGATGGCCATGTTCAACAATAGTTCAGCTCACACCATCCTGTTTTCTTTCTCCCCACACATAGTGGCATATATCAGAGTCCTACAAAGGTGCAAATTTGAAAACCTGCCCCCACAAGGCTCTGTATTGAACCTGACCTGTTACCTGCAGTTATTTTTAAATGAAATCCAGGCCTGACCCGACCCACTAACAAGACCCACGACCTGACCTGTACCTGCAAGTAAAATAGACTTTAAGCAACACAGTCACTCAATCTAAAGTGCTTGAGAGTTGTTATGTGTCGATGGACAGCACCTGGCTCCTGCAGCTGTTTCCAGTGACAGAGTGCCTAGCTTGCGGTTATCAAATGCTAACACTGTTGCAGCAAAGCCACTGATAACGTTGTTGGCACTGTCTGTAACAAAACCAAATTCTTCCGATATGTCCTTAGAAGATAATTGTGCACAGGATTCAGGTCTAACCAATTTTGCTTTTAGGTTTATCCAGTTTATCTGTACGTCTAGCCTATATTGATGTCTGAGTGATGTCCTATTAGCTAGGAGCAGAAGGGTCAAAGGTGGTGCCATAGGCCTTTACAATAAATCTGTTCAGCTTTCCAATTGTCTTGGGGTTAGACATAAACAGACACACACTCGCTCTGTGGCTCTTACCTGTCATATTCTTAAGAAGAGCACTCGGAGAGCGCATGTACCTCCACCAAGGCACAGCATTCACTCATGCAAATGGGTCCTTTGTGGAAAAATGCGATTCAGAACAACACAAAATATGTCCTAAAATCCTTGAGCAGGAGCAGGAAGGGAGTGTTTATTTTGAACAAAGAAAGGTGATGAGGTATCGCATCAAATAATACAGGGCACAGATAATTTACAAATCACTGTTTTCAGTTTTAATTTTGATTTGACATACCGTCCCAACTTTTTCTGATTTGGGGGTGTACTTTTGTGACCACCACACATAGTGTTAGTATAATATAATATAATAATGTCTCTACAGGGTCATCTCAAACAGCTGACCTTCCTGATGGGCAACCCTGACGCTGCCAAGCAACACTGCAGCCACCACCAGCCCCACTGTGGTGAGGCAGCTCCCAAGCCTCCTCGCTCCCCACGCACCAATAATCTGGAGGTGAGGAAAGCTTAATGAAAAAGAAAAAGAAGAGATCAGGAAAAGTTGCGTCATATTAACAAATGTTTTAAGAAAACTGCATGCACCTTCCCAAAACATCTTTGCATTAGGCGCATAGGTCAAGGTGTAATACTAGTAAAGTAAAAAGATTATAACCTGCACACTGATTTGATGCTCTGCAAAATTTTGTTTTGCTCAGGCCAAGCTGCCACACCGACATTTTGACATGAAGTTTTCCTCAGGTATTTACACCTTGTACTCTGACCTGACATCATATAGACTCATTCAGAATGATGTCAGGTGTGACACCACAGCCAGACCAATCAGCACATTAACAATATAACTCCAGTTTTCTGACAGTGTTTTCACCCTCACCATGCCACAAAATACAAACACACATTTAAAGGTCAGAGTAAAAGCTGTAAATACCTGATAAAGACTTAATGTCAAAACGTTGTTGGCCTGGCAGCTTGGCCAGAGTAAAAATAATTTTGTGGGGCATCAAATCAGTGTGTGGGCTATAATGTTTTTACTTTACTATCATTTTCACAAGTGAAATTTCCTCTTAGCATTGTTCCTTTGACATTTAAACAGCAAGGCTCTGACATGTTACTGAGGTGTTCAAGGTGAAAGTAAAGTCTTTTGAAACTCACTCAGACTCCTGCAGTTAATACTTTGACAACATGACCTGTTATATACCTTCAACTGTGATAAACGATCATCAAAGGATTTATAACAAAAACTGTACTGACTCCTGTGATTTTTTTTTTTTTTTTGGATCCAGTCTACGCTGTGTTTGATTGTCCATGGGTTTAACCCTGAGCTGTCTTTGTTGTTTTTAATTTTAGAAATTGTCCCCTTTGTTTCCACACAGAATACATTGCTGTCCTCAAATGACCTAGCAGACCTGTTGGGGGATTCCAAGGATGATTCAGTTCTGAGTTTTGGCAGAACTGTGAGTAGAATATTTTGATGCCTAGATTTCTGAGAAATGACACAGTGCCCTGTTAAGTAGTGCTGAAAACCCCCTGTTCATTTAGATTTTAAAAACAGCTAAACAAAAGCACAGCTGTTGTTGCCTTTTTCCACTGTCGTGTGTTGGAGAGTGAGGCCAGAGGACCAGTCGTCACGGTGATTTTATCCATTTGTGGCTGGATTGGACAGACAGGCAGCTACAGTCAGGTATATCAGCCATTCCAGTCCTGTCAGAGGCCCCAGCTAGCTGGCCCACCTTTTGTTCTTGACTGATGGGTTCAATTCGCATGTGTATGTATTGTATGTGTGAGTGTCCTGTGTGCCTGGCCTGCCTGCCTGACCATCAGTCTTTCTCTCACTGGTCTTTATTGTAGCTGCAAAAGGGTTCATTTGTACTGGAACTAAAAAGCTGCTTTGATTCAGTATACTGTAGTCAGGGAGGATTTGACATTGGTGAGAGGTGGGGTCCACCCTGGACAGGTCGCCAGTTTATCACAGGGCTGACATAGAGACAAACAACCACCACCCACACTCACTCCTACAGGCAATTTAGAGTCACCAGTCAACCTAAGCTGCATGTCTTTGGACTGAAGAGAACCCACGCAGGCACAGGTAGGACATGCAGACTTGGCACAGATAGGCCCGGGCTCGAACCCAGAACCTTCTTGCTGTGAGGCCACAGTGCCCTGTGCCACCCATAATAAATAAATAAGGATAATCACCTTTATTTGGCCAAGTATGTTACACACATGTTTCCGGTACAGAGCCGAGGCAGCCATCTGTGGCGCCAATTCACACCAATGGCTCTAACCATTAGGGGCGACTTGTTCAGTGTCTTGCCCAGGGACATTTCAAAATGTGGACTGCAGGCACCAAGATTCGAACCTCCAACCCTCCGGTTGGGAGATGGCTGGTCTACTCACTGAACCACAGTCACCCCCACAAATAAATAAATAAATAAATAATCAAAAGTGAATAATAAAAACTCAACAGAAAGAATAAATTTTAAAACAAACCTTGCAGTACAACCATTGTGTGATTTTACATTTTGGTTTGCTTACTTACAGCACAGCACTTCCTCCCCATCTTTTTTGTTTATGTTCCATAACTAGAACCAGGGTTTCTGAGCAGTACTATCTGCAGGAACACCTTCTGTAATATATCTTAATTTTCTTAGAAGCAGGGAATCCCGCTGGAGGAGAACAGCTAATGGCAAGAGTCTGCATGCTGACCAATCACACATGTGTAGCCTACTTATTGTAAATACATGTTAATTAGAGCCCTGTATGTTACATCTGAATATATAATTGTTTTCAGATGCAGTTACGTCACCGTTAAACATCAATAGTGGAAGCAGCAGTAACTAGCATGTGGCTTGATGACAAGATTTATCAGCCCATAGGCATCCAAGAGTTAGAGATGTAGCAGCTCCACTGCAATCTGTTGATAAAAGATCCAATAAAATGGGCTCTTGAACCTCTGGAAAACTGCTCAGAAACCCTGGTATGGATTAAGTTCAACCGTAACCCCAAAGTGACACCCTCACAAATGTTGTAACCAGTCCAGACTGGCTGTCCAGTTGGCGGTGATGCCTAATTATTCTGGCAAATGATCAACCATCATGAAAGATCAGATGGATGAAGCTTGACTGGTTGTTTTTTAGTCTTGACTACTTCCATAGTCCAGTTTTGCACAGTGCAGCTGACTAAAGATCCTTTATATTGTGTAGTGAACTTTCTTGCTTTTTGTTGAAAGTAGAATTGCACAATGTATCGCTGCTTTTCAGTTCTTTGTCAACAGAGTTAATGAATGCTATACAGTGGGTGTGAGTGCCAACACTCGTGGAACAGTACAGCGCGACGATGCAGGTCCTAGTCGACCACTGTCCGCCTGTCTTGTCAAATTAAGCCACTTTTCTCCTCAAAGCTGTTATCCCATTGGCTTCCTCTTCAGGCTTGTCTACTGATGATTCATATCCCACCACAGAATCCTTTTTTGAAAATTAAATACAGTATATCACATTTCTGAAACCATGATGACATTTTACTCAACCTTAACACTTGTGTCGTTTACGATGAATAAACCGATCAGTACATCTAATTCACCGTGACCTAGCTTGTACATTCAGAAATCTGTTGTGATGTGGCACACACTGCTTCTCTCGGAACAAACAAAACATAGTGCCTGAAATACACAGTTGTTTACACTGGCACTTACAAAATAAACTTTCTGGAATGCACATATGTTTGAAATGGAAACACAGGCAAAGACCATATGTTTGACTATGAAGGAAAAGCAAAGCTGGTTTGAATTTACATTTTCATGTATGTAGAAAAATGTCTGAAAAAGTCAGTGGGGATCTGGTTCTCTTTACAGTATACAGCAGTGCACAGCCAGAGGAGGGACTGCAATCCTTTGTAAAACACAGCAGACCATGCCGTGCTATGCCAGCCCCATCAGCCACAGAGTTTCTCCATCAGCCAATGGGCATTAGCACTGGGATGCCTTTGTGATGATGGTGTAGACAACCGTCTCTCTCCTTGCGTTTTGTGCCGTACAGAATGTTTGCACGAACAAGTTGCACATGATCTGTCTTATTAGTTAGTGAAACCTTCCTCAGCTGCCTGCATCTCTTTCTCATTATCTGTATTTGCCCATTCACCTGTTTCTGTTTTTGTGTTTTTATTGTCTCATAATGTCTCTCCTCTAGGTAAAATGTCTAATATGTTTGTGTCTGTTCCTGTCTGTCTGTCTGTATCTGTTTGTGTCCATCTCTGTCTCTGTTGGTCCTCCTCTGTGTCGCTGTCCCTACATTTCAGTGTGTCAGTCCTTTTTCTCTCTCTGCTTAACAGATAGTCTCACTCTTTGTCCATCTGTCTTTTTCTGTGCTCCTCAGCAGTGTTCAAAAATCATCCAGTCAATCACAGAGACGGGAAGTGTTTTCTACCTATTTCCAGGATTTATGCTAAGATGAGCTAATAGTGTTTTGGCCCCGAGCTGCGTATTCACATTTCAGACATGGTCCATTAGTAGTACTGATCTTGTCATCTAACTCTTGGTAAGAAAGTGAATGAGTGCATTTCTCAAAATGCTGTTCCATTAAGACTTTTACCAAGTAAAAAATGACAAACATTCCCTGCTAATAGCGTCTCAGATGTAAACTACTAGTCGGACAAAAAAAATCTATTTATTACCTTGGACTCTGGTAACATGAACTGTCTGGTCACTTTAATAGTCACACCTGTACAAAAGTATGCATTGCAATGCAAAAACATCCGCCTCAACATCTGTGTTACTGAAGCTCAAAATGTTTGTTTTTGGTGAAATTGTCATAAATTCATTTCTGATTATTATTGAGGTCATAGTTAATGGTGGCGTTGTACTGGACTACATTATATTCAGAGTGTGAGAGTATACTCATATAGTGTGTGTGATATCATACGGACTAAATGACCAATCTACTAATCAATTAAATAGCCAGCAAATTAACAGGGTGACTAATGCTATTTAAACTGCAGCACTAGGTTTTCATATAGGAAATGAAGAACAAGAGAGGGTGATTTTGGACACGGTCCTTTTTCTCATTATATCCATACCATGAATGTATAAGCATTCTGGCTCTGGCTCTCCTCAGTATATCCACACTAAAATAATAAATAAATAAAGCGGCACCACTGCAAGGTCTGCTGCTGTCATCTTTGAAGCGCAACATGTCTGAGTGTGGGGTCATGTTGTTGGGGTTTCCTGACTTTGATGCATGTGCTGCCTGGGCCCACAGTTCTCCTTAGAGACATGACACTTGACCAGTTAATCTGCAGCTCTTTTAGTTTGCACTAAGATGTTAGACACTCCTGGAGGTTAGTCCTTAGCTAAACATATAATTTACAAAGCCAGAGTCATCAGCTTCCAAGTATGTTGATGGCTTTGCACCCTCATAATCAACATGTCCTACATTAGTCAAAATTACTTTTTGTAAATTTTAATACTTTTGTGTCTTTTAGTGTCATGAAGCAAGTTTTTGTTGCCTTCAGCTTCTAAAAAATGAAGATTTGCTTAATTGAATTTACAATGGTATAAATCAGTCACTATAGGGCTTAGACTTTTGGTCATATAGAACAAGCGAGTATGCAGGCATGTGGATTTTCTTTGTGTGTGTATGTGTGTATATATACTGTATAGATAGTATGTGTCAGAGTGGGAGAGACCAAGCATGACAGAACTTATGATTTTTTTTTTTTTTTTTTTTTTTACAGTGACTGAGTTTATATGCACTTAAATAACCAGTTTACAGTTGCTTTCACGAGTAAGCTGATTTCTTAATTGTCATGGAAACGAGAAACCTGGTTTCCATAATCGGGGTAGGGGATTAGGAAAACCTTATCTCCCCAAGTAGATTTCTTCTGGAGAATGCAGATTTCTCTGCTATGTATACATATATCCAAGTTTCTAATCAGTTACAGTATCTACAAGAGTGCATGTGCAAAAGAAAAGCTCCAAGCTTTGTCTTCTAGTTTGCCATTATTAATTTCACAACTAATGGGGCAGCTAATGTCATGATTTGCAGGTGAAATATCGCTAAAGAGACCAAAATACGAGCTTGATCAACCGGGTCTATCTTTGTTTTTGGGAGGATGCACTTGCATAATGACATCAGGCTTTCAAATTGCGGGTGCACCCGAACAGCATGCTATCGCTTTCACTGATCATCACCACAAGAGTGAGTCATGTTTTTCAAAGCACTTCCTGTTTTAAAAATGGTTTTAGCACCACTTAACTCTTGATCCCTGAAACTGCATTCTTCAGAGAGAGCGAGGCAGACGCACACGACTGTGGTGGTAATATTCCCTGCTGCATATCCTATCACAACCACATGTTTCCACTCTGGTCTTTAGAGAGGCCTCTGGCAAGCTGAGACAGAAACAAAGAGGTGGAAAAAGGTGATCCATCATTCTGACACTTATCCATGGCTCTGTCAATCCC